GTCGACAAGTATCTTTCACCAGATTAATCTTTTTCTTACCTAATCTTTTTCCTTGGCATCATTACCTTATATATTGCGTAATTTTCATGTAAACAATCATTCTTTGAGAATTTCTTTAGCCATCGCACTGTTCTTTTGAGTCGTCTGATGTGTTAAGCCATATATATGACTTGTGTCATATAGGCTACACAAACATTAATAAAACATTCGTTTGTATCAGTGATAGGATTGTTCCAAGCTCTTGTTACCCTGGTTGAGTACAGCCACTAACTTCCTGATTCTTTCATATTTCTTCTCTTTCTGTGATAGTTTATCTTTAATTTGTTTGGTGCTAACTTAAGAATGAAGTGTCTTCCACTTCACCCGGCACGTTTTTACCTTCTCGCGCGCCCCCGCGGCAATATAATGGAGGTATTACTCGAATTCATCCTCATTAATACGTTCATTACAATGAAAATGATCACCGACATAAGAGGACACTTGACAATTGATGCACCCCATTGACAGGTTGACAGTCAAAGCACCGTGTTGCGTCCTCGAAACTCACAAACTCATTACAGTTGCTGCAAGTTTGTAAACTACAGCAAACAAGCGTTCTTATCTTATCTGTATTTTTCCTTTTCCTTCCACCATTTACCTCTTGTTTTATTACAACTTTTTGGTGTGGCAGGAAAGTTATTATGAATAATAATGTTTGTTCAGTTCGCACGTTAACATTTCCTTGAATAATAGTATACGAATTTGTTGGATTGTTGGAGTAGGTGAACCAAGAACACTGATCTGCCATAACGTTACTGCAGGGAACTGTACGAAAGCATCTGTGGCGTCTCACGCTTACAGTCTGTTATAAAAGTCGGCCACAATTGCTCTGTTATATTTCTCTTTAGGGACATCTAAAACTATTTCAGAAGCTGTAATTGATCCCTACAACGGGTGGCGGACTTCCATGGCGTTGGTCTTTTCTACTCATGAACACCATGGAGATCCTTACAGCGTGGAGGGAACACCATGGAGATCCCAGCAGCAGGGAGTGAACACCATGGAGATCCCAGCAGCAGGGAGTGAACACCATGGAGATCCCAACAGCAGGGAGTGAACACCATGGAGATCCCTACAGCGGGGATTGAACACCATGGAGATCCCTACAGCGGGGAGTGAACACCATGGAGATCCCAACAGCAGGGAGTGAACACCATGGAGATCCCTACAGCGGGGAGTGAACACCATGGAGATCCCTACAGCGGGGAGTGAACACCATGGAGATCCCTACAGCGGGGATTGAACACCATGGAGATCCCTACAGCGTGGAGTGAACACCATGGAGATCCCTACAGCAGGGATTGAACACCATGGAGATCCCTACAGTGGGGAGTGAACACCATGGAGATCCCAACAGCAGGGAGTGAATACCATGGAGATCCTTACAGCGTGGAGTGAACACCATGGAGATCCCTACAACGGGGAGTGAACACCATGGAGATCCCTACAGTGGGGATTGAACACCATGGAGATCCTTACAGCGTGGAGTGAACACCATGGAGATCCCTACAGCGGGGAGTGAACACCATGGAGATCCCTACAGTGGGGAGTGAACACCATGGAGATCCCTACAGCGGGGAGTGAACACCATGGAGACACCTACAGCGGGGAGTGAACACCATGGAGATCCCTACAGCGGGGATTGAACACCATGGAGATCCCTACAGCGGGGAGTGAACACCATGGAGATCCCTACAGCGGGGAGTGAACACCATGGAGATCCCTACAGCGGGGATTGAACACCATGGAGATCCCTACAGCAGGGAGTGAACACCATGGAGATCCCTACAGCGTGGAGTGAACACCATAAGGATCCCAACAGCAGGGAGTGAACACCGTGGAGATCCCAACAGCAGGGAGTGAACACCATGGAGATCCCTACAGCGGGGAGTGAACACCATGGAGATCCCAACAGCATGGAGATACAGCCGAACACCGTGGAGCAGTGAACACCATGGAGATCCCTACAGCGGGGAGTGAACACCATGGAGATCCCTACAGCGGGGAGTGAACACCGTGGAGATCCCTACAGCGGGGAGTGAACACCATAGAGATCCCTACAGTGGGGAGTGAACACCATGGAGATCCCTACAGCGGGGAGTGAACACCATGGAGATCCCTACAGCGTGGAGCGAACACCATGGAGATCCCTACAGCGGGGAGTGAACACCATAGAGATCCCTACAGTGGGGAGTGAACACCATGGAGATCCCTACAGCGGGGAGTGAACACCATGGAGATCCCTACAGCGTGGAGCGAACACCATGGAGATCCCTACAGCGGGGAGTGAACACCATAGAGATCCCTACAGTGGGGAGTGAACACCATGGAGATCCCTACAGCGGGGAGTGAACACCATGGAGATCCCTACAGCGTGGAGCGAACACCATGGAGATCCCTACAGCGGGGAGTGAACACCATGGAGATCCCTACAGCGGGGAGTGAACACCGTGGAGATCCATACAGCGGGGAGTGAACACCATGGAGATCCCTACAGCGGGGAGTGAACACCGTGGAGATCCCTACAGCGGGGAGTGAACACCATGGAGATCCCTACAGCGTGGAGTGAACACCGTGGAGATCCCTACAGCGGGGAGTGAACACCATGGAGATCCCTACAGCGGGGAGTGAACACCGTGGAGATCCCAAAAGGGCGACGCGAGCGTCATGGAAAACATAAAACTGCAGGGACGAAAGTTGTATATGAAACACAGAATGAATATTTAAGAGAACAGCTGCGACAGGTTTGGACGAGAGAGAGCGTGATGCAGTGAGATACAGATGTGTGTTATTTACCGACAACAGCAGAGAGTATTGTCGGGACGGCGAGAGAGGCTCCCCACTCGCGGCTGTCACCTAGCCAGACAAACCTTGACAATCAACCTTCAAGCTTTTAAACAACAATATTGTTGATGTTGTAATTGAAACCTTTGACTGAGTGTTTGTGTTGGTCTTCCACAGGAGATTCTCCGGTGTTCGTCATAACGGAAGGTAACGAAGGGGGCCACTTCTGGCTCCACCCCACCACCGGTCGACTCTCCCTTCGGGCGCCACTTGACTACGAAACCAAACAAGAGGTAAGGCTCTCTTTGTTTTCGTTTTCTGTTGGTGATACTCTCAACTCCTCTTCCTCTCCTCCCATTTTTCTCACCTCTTTTTTTCCTCCCCCGGCATACGTTCTATTGCAGTGTCCTCTTCCCTACATCACTTATCTCTTCCCAATTTTCTTCCCCCTCTCCGCCTTCACTTCCCACTCCTCTCCCCTCACACATCCATTCTGTTTGGTAGCGGTGGGGTTACTTCTTGACTTCTCTGTGACTTCGCTATCTTATATGAGAGTTTTTCCGGGAGGGTTCTTGGCTTTGGTTACTGTGGTTCTTTACCTAGTAAAATGATAGTGGTTCATCAATTGTGGTGGTTCATCAATTGTGGTGGTTCATCAATTGTGGTGGTTCATCTATTGTGGTGGTTCGTCTGTTGTGGTGGTTCGTCTGTTGTGGTGGTTCGTCTGTTGTGGTGGTTCGTCTGTTGTGGTGGTCCGTCTGTTGTGGTGGTTCGTCTACTGTAGTGGTTTATCTATTATGATGATTTATTGAAATGGACCATTACACCTACCCAATGACACCACATGGTTTATCACACTACCTGGTCCACCACACCACCTGTTCCACCACATTACCTGACCCACCATACAACCTGGTCCACCACACCTCTTGTTCGACCACACAACCTGACCAACCACACCACTTGCACCAGCACTCTACCTAACCCACCACACCACCTGACCCACCACACTACCTGGCCCACCACCACCACCCGGCCCACCACACCACCTACACAGGATATAAAGCTTTCCGAAGAGCCAAAACCCAGCATTCTGACATTCACCCAAACAGTTTTCATTTTATTTTCATTTTTTAACCGCCCACTGTCTGTCACTCCGGGAGCCTCCACCACACACCCTCCGCCACCTAAGGCTGGAGGATTTCCCTCCTAGTCTATTGCCTGCCATCACAAACTTGTACTAACATTTATTCAAGTTAATCTAATCCTTCACAGCGATGTGGAAAAAGAATAGGGGATGACAACTGCATCAAGAGCAGCTGCAGTATCGGCGACTGCAGCAGATGTAGAGGAGCAGGAGTAGTATTAGCAACTTTGACAGCAGCAGCAGCGGTTTTTGCAACAGCCGCAGCAGCAGCAGCATCGTTAGTTGTGGTGTCAGCTGGAGGACCAGTACTAAAAATATGAACAGGAGTAAAAGCAGTAAAAGTTGTTTCAGAGATAGAACCATGAATTGTAGCAACGACATCAACAAGAACAGCAGCAACAGCAGCATTTACAGCAGATGCAGCAGTTAAAGCAGCAGCAGTTAAAACAGCACAGCTGCAGCAGCAAGAGTTAAAGTAAGAGCAGCAACAGAGATTACTCCCCTCTCGGCTCAGCATGACATATATACCATTAAGAGCCAGCAGTAGTAAAAAACATGAAGTCAAATTGACAGGTAATGACAAAACGGCCAGGAGTGGAACGTGTTGAATGAGCGGCGGTCTTCTTCATGGAGGGATCGTACGCCACATATCGCATACAGGCGGGGATAGTAAGATAGTTTTTGAGTAGATACGTATATCGTATAAGATGAAAATATAAAAATTATCGCAAAACATAGTTTGAATGATTTTCCAAACAACAGTCAAATAATACCAATAACAAATTTAAATAATTAAATATATTAAAGAGACTCGAAACAATAACAGTGCAATTGTAAAAGTAGTCAAAGACAAAATGAAAACAAAGAGGGAACTGGTGAGTAAGTGGGTGAGTATAAATAAGAATGACACTGAGTGTGTGAGAGAGAGACAACAGCTTCCCGATCTTTACGGCATCATCGTTTCCACGCCTCTTCCCTCCCTTCCATTTTTCAGGCTTTATTGACACGGCTAAACCTTCCCCCTAAAACATAAAATTTTCCGGGGGTGAATGGGATGGTTTCTGCCAAACTGCCATGCAGGGGAAGTGAAAGCAGTTTAATGGCTTTTATTGTTTTCCAGTTAGGCAGAAGGACCACCTCCTGTAATAAAGTACATCCAGATACGGCTTACCATTAAGAAGGAAAATGTGCTTTATATTTTGGTATTATCTGGAGCAGTGGCCTAAATTGAGAGAGGGATAGAGTGGAAATGGGGTGTAAGTGTAAACAGTCAGTGAAAACGAGTCCAGTGTGAATCCAGATAAAATGAGGGTTAGAATACATTTACAGAAAACGAATTCACTCTATGCCAAAGAAAATGAACTATATGTGCGATAAGAAAAATCAGGTCCAATGAGTGGTCAGAGGAAAATTGGGTACGAAATTGGCCGAAAGGAAATAGATGAGGAAAATAATGCAATTCAGGCAGATGTACAATCTTAAGAATTTTGCAAAACTCGTGTGCAAAATAAATTATATCAAGTAAATGTTCAATGAATCAAGAGCCCATTTGAATACATTCAAATTGTAACCTTTACATATGAACCATACAAGAGAATGTCTGTCAGTTTGTCTGTCCAAAGTAGAGGCCAGACGTTGCTAGCATTATCTAAATATGTAGGGAAAATGGTGTGGGGTACGGGACGGACCTAGGCTGGTCTGGGAAGGTCTAAGTTAAATAATTTATGAAATATTAGTAATTATTGACGCCAACGTTGAACAGCGAAAGCGAGGCTCTAGTTTTAAGTAGTTAACACGAGAAGAGAAAGGTGTGCACATTGAAAATGATGAGAGCGTAGTGGAGGTCTGGAGTATAGTCACCTTGGGAGAACATTTACTAAGTGATATACTGTGATTTGTCTTAGTTGTCTTGTGTGCGTCAAGTCACAGGTGGCCACAGGAAGACGATAGCCACACATGGTACCTGTATGGGCGTTTCTCAGTGAGTTTCTGGAGGTTTTAGCGTGTGCGAGGGAAGTGGAACCGAGAACCATACATGACACGAGAGGACCCACATGCTAGCAGGCACTGTTAGTGAACTAGTGAAATATGGAGTTATCATACCGTGGAGTTGCAAACAACTGTCCTTGGGGGCACTGGATGAAATTTAGTTTTCGTGTAAATTCTTCATTTAGGAAAGAAATGATGACGTCAGTATCCTAACCCTTCCAATAAAATTGGACACATTGAATACATATGATCAAAGTGGGTGGACGGAATGTTGTAATAATTTGTTGAATATGACTCCCGATTATTTCAAAGGTTACAACAATTGCTTCAAATTATTTATGGCAGAACAAACTATTAATAGAACAGATTTAGATATTTGAACTTGTCAATATTAAAACGTTAGTCAGTCGGCAGTTAATTTTTTTTTTTTTAATTGTCCAGGGTAAATGAGCTTAATTCCGTTAGGTTTGGCCAGGATAGATATGTTAGATGATGATGTTAAAACTTTCTAAAACAATAAATCACGCCTCAGCTTTTCTTATCATCAAGCTTAATTAATATTGAGCACGTGTTCAAAACTAACGTTACATAATCCTGCAACCAATATCGCAGTTCTTTATGGGTCGATATCGTACGTTTCGCTCAGTGAGCCTAAAACGAACCTAAAATATTATGAGTATTGTCTTTCAGCAAATATTCCAAGAAAATAATTCACTGGATATATTACCGTGTGTGTTTTATTATGTTATATACGACGATAACATGAACGAAATAATTCTTACGTTCCGAGAATTGCAGACTATTGGTACTCACAGACTATCACAATTCCCTTCCTGACATTACTGTTAGCGAAACCGTAACGAACGATAGGTTTCAGCTAGCATGAAACCTCACTTACCTCATATTACCTTCGATATGATCCCCAAAAGTTAGGCATTTACGAGCATCAGTGCTAACTAGCCCACACTACCATAACGAACATCAGTGCTAAATAACTCATACTACCACAACGAGCATCAGTGCTAACTAACCCATACTACCATAACGAGCATCAGTGCTAACTAACCCATACTACCATAACGAGCATCAGTGCTAACTAACCCACACTACCATAACGAGCATCAGTGCTAACTAACCCATACTACCACAACGAGCATCAGTGCTAACTAACCCATACTACCATAACGAGCATCAGTGCTAACTTACCCATACTACCACAACGAGCATCAGTGCTAACTAACCCATACTGCCATAACGAGCATCAGTGCTAACTTACCCATACTACCACAACGAGCATCAGTGCTTACTAACCCATACTACCACAACGAGCATCAGTACTAACTTACCCATACTACCACAACGAGCATCAGTACTAACTAACCCATACTACCACAACGAGCATCAGTGCTAACTAACCCACACTACCACAACGAGCATCAGTGCTAACTTACCCATACTACCACAACGAGCATCAGTGCTAACTAACCCACACTACCACAACGAGCATTAGTGCTAACTTACCCATACTACCACAACGAGCATCAGTGCTAACTAACCCACACTACCACAACGAGCATGATTGCTAACTAACCCATACTACCACAACGAGCATCAGTGCTAACTAACCCATACTACCATAACGAGCATCAGTGCTAACTAACCCACACTACCACAACGAGCATGAGTGCTAACTAACCCATACTACCACAACGAGCATCAGTGCTAACTAACCCATACTACCACAACGAGCATCAGTGCTAACTTACCCATACTACCACAACGAGCATCAGTGCTAACTTACCCATACTACCACAACGAGCATTAGTGCTAACTTACCCATACTACCACAACGAGCATTAGTGCTAACTTACCCATACTACCACAACGAGCATCAGTGCTAACTAACCCACACTACCACAACGAGCATCAGTGCTAACTTACCCATACTACCACAACAAGCATCAGTGCTAACTAACCCACACTACCACAACGAGCATGAGTGCTAACTAACCCATACTACCACAACGAGCATCAGTGCTAACTAACCCACACTACCACAACGAGCATGAGTGCTAACTTACCCATACTACCACAACGAACATCAGTGCTAACTAACCCACACTACCACAACGAGCATGAGTGCTAACTAACCCACAC